ATCTGGAACTTATTTTCACTTTTGCACAATAACGTAGTTGTCCAAATGATAGCTTGTAGAAAACATAAATAGCATCTAAAGTCTGTTGTATTTCTGATTTAGCATGCAAACTTAGTCTCGTAGTGAAGAATTCTTTTAAGGACAGTAGCATAGTTCCTCGTGACAGTTTTCCCCTCTAAGAAATAGTCATATTCTGCAACACTTCATATTTCTTTCTGAGGATGTAGTGAAGCATTCTTATGAATATAGTAACACATGTCCTCGTGAAAATTTTACCCTCTAAACTCAGAAATAATCATATCCGTTCTGAGACACTTCATATTTCCTTCCGAGGATGTAGTGTAGCATTCTTTTAAAGACAGTAACACAGGTCCTCGTGAAGGTTTCACCCTCTAAACTCAGGAATAAACATATCGGTTCTGAAAGACTTCATAATTTCTATCCGAGGATGTAGAGAAGTTTCCAGAAATGCAGTTGATCTATTGTTAAACTGACAAACTCCAAATCTTCTATTTGATTAGAGTCTTAGTCTTCCAGATCAGCTCCGTCTCAATGTAAATATGTCAAAACCAAATTGCAAGCACGAAGAATCTTTGCATTGCTGGAAAGCCTACTTTCAAGATTATTGCTACTTATTTTTTAGAAAAGGATTCATTGTCCAGATAACTGAACTGAAAGTATGAAAAAATAAAAAAGAAGGGAGAGGAAAAACAAATTGATTATAAATGAAGGGAAACAATTATATTCGTTTGGTTTCTATTACTGTTTTGGCCAATTCCCAAGCCGGTTGGACGTTGTTTAGGATTTTGCAAACCTTTTTTCTTGTGGTTGCTGCTCTGTTTCTGTGTGCCTAAACATAGTGGAATCTCTAGGGTAAACTGTTTTGTTTATTCACCCTTCTGATGTTATTTTATCTCTAAGCAACTTCTGCGGCTATAGACGAAACCTGTGGATTGTCTTAGGCATTCTTAAAAATTCTAGTTTAGTATATCCTCCCTACAACAGGGTATAAGCGAAAGCCCTTGCGATGTATCTATTCCCTCATGGAACAATGTTCTATGAAACTTAACTAAGAAGAGTTACGAGTTCCTTGAGAAGTCGGCATAATATTATTATTATTTAATGAATAGCATGCCTAAGAAATTAATTTTGTAGTTGGAGAATGGGAATAGAAAACCCAAAGTAGCTGCTGTAATTTTGCGACAGTTCAAATTTTATTTAATATTTTATCATCCCTGTTAATTTTATAGAAACTGATCGGCTCCTTTATTTGTATTTTTGGAAGATTGTGATGGTTGTTGATGCCAGGGACCCACTCTTCTACCGCTGCCCTGATCTTGAGGTAAAACTGGAGATCTAATTCTAAACTTGCCTGTTTGAAATTTGTTATATTTATTGTTTTCTTCATATTGAAATACTTAAAACGAATAGTATAATTTCATGGCGCTGTGCTGCTTATTTACTATTTCACAGTGCTGAAAAAAGCTTTATTCAACCATATGAATCCATCAAACTATGAGATATTATTTCAGAATAGCACATTATTTTAGTTTCCAGATATTATTGAGAAATTGTTCTGCCAAAAATTTCAGGCGTATGCAAGGGAAATCGACAAACACAAAAGGACAATTCTCCTAGTCAATAAGGCAGACCTTCTCCCTTACTCAGTTAGGCAAGTTTCCTAATATCACATCCTCCTCATTTTCTTGATTTTTCATCTCATATAATGGAATCCCAAAACAATCCCAAAACACGAAATAATCTACAGAGACCAATGGGCCAAATACTTTTGCCGCAACAAGATTCTCTTCGTTTTCTGGTCGGCCAAGGCTGCAACCGCCATATTACAAGGGAAAAGCCTCTACCCATCTCCCGACAGCCACCGGGAGGCAGCCAATGCCGACACTAAAATACACAACAGGGACGAGCTACTTGCACGCCTCCAATCAGAAGCTGAGGAGATAGCCTCCATGCGTACCGAGTCTAAGCCCGATAGCATGATGGGCCCACCCAGCTACGGCCCGGCCCAAAACGTGGTTGTCGGGTTCGTCGGGTATCCAAACGTGGGCAAGAGCTCGACGATCAACGCCTTAGTCGGCGAAAAGCGTACAGGCGTGACCTCGACTCCTGGAAAGACCAAACACTTTCAAACCCTAATAATATCCGAAAAACTCACTCTGTGCGATTGCCCCGGATTGGTTTTCCCGTCTTTTACCAGCTCGAGGTACGAAATGGTAGCGTCTGGGGTTTTGCCCATTGACCGCATGACTGAGCATCGTGAGGCCGTGCAAGTCGTTGCAAACCGGGTCCCGAGGCCCGTTATCGAGGCCGTGTACAAAATCTCTTTGCCGAAGCCCAAACCGTACGAGGCCCAGAACCGGGCGCCTCTGGCAGTCGAGCTTCTGAGAGCATATTGTGCCTCTCGTGGATATGTGGCGTCTGCCGGGCTCCCAGATGAGACGAGAGCAGCCCGTCAGATTCTGAAGGATTATATCGACGGAAAGCTGCAGCACTTTGAGCTGCCACCTGGTGTGTCGGGTGGTGATGGTGATGATGACGAGGATGAAGATGAATTGGAGTCGTCTGATGGAGATGATTATGATGATGGTGAAGAGGTTTCGGTTGGTGGGGGTGATGGGCCGGAATTGGAGCACGTGCTGAGTGATTTGAACTCTTTCGATATTGATAATGGATTAGCTTCTGTTGGGATTGGCAGTGTTAGGGCAAAACCGTCACGTGCGCCTCATAAGCAGCATAAGAAGCCCCAGAGGAAGAAAGATCGGTCGTGGAGGGTGAAAGGTTCGGAAGGTGATGGGATGCCGGTGGTTAGGGTTTTCCAGAAGCCGGTGAATAAGGGCCCGTCGGGTGCTTGATGGTTACACATCATGAGATTCATGGAAGATTTTGCGGACATTTCTGGGTTTCAATTTGAGCGCCTTTTTTTTTTTTTTT